GTATGACTGGCTGATGACGGCTAATAAGCCAGACATGGCCATTCCGGTCTCCGTTTGCTTTGCCGGGTCCACTTCATCATATCACCTGGTCAAAAAGTGACGTTCTTGAGGGTTTGCGTTACGAGATCCTGTAAAAAGCGGAACTTAATTTTTCCTCTACTCGATCGATTGAAAGCACATTCATTCATACACTTTAGTATAGATTAAGAGCCTTTTCAATTCGTCAAAGTTCCTTAAAAGTGTTCTTCGTGGCGGATTAAGATTTATTTCTGCTGATCCTTGAAACACATGTCAATACTTCACGTTTTCAGTATTTCCAGTCGATTGCTTATAAATTTAGTTTTTTTTATGTTTTTGCTTATTTGAGGATTTTTTGCAGCAGATTTGATTTGAACCATAAATTTCATAAGCAAGTAAAACACTGTGGACAGTGGGATAGGGGGACAGCTAAAACAAAATGCGGCCAGGGGTAGGTGTGTATCAAGGAGCCGGACGTAACCGAAGCAAAGCAAGGTTCAGAGCATGCACCAGCTGTTTACATAGGTCAAGGTTTTACCCTCGTATAGAGGCTGCCTCCAGGTAGCACAATTTACGAGTTGTTCGTGCCCGAAAAAGTAAACGGAAGGATGTTTTGGGGACTACAGAATGGCCCGTAAGCAATGGATGTTCAGTAATGGAAGAACGGAATAAAGTTACTCCCTTTATGCAGCGAGAGGACACAGCTGATGAGCACTCGCGAAATTTATGGTTCCATTATATTCTGCACCTGGGAAAAGATGCTTCGAAATCGAATTCTCTTACTTTGACAACAATATCCGTCAAATAATGAAAACGAAACACCCACTGCAACGACAAGAAGCATTCGCAATCGTCTGTAGGACTAAATGCAGTGTCGGACAAAGCATCTACGTAGGAGAAACTGACAGACCTCTGAAACCGCGAATCGCCGAACGTGCGGCTGCAGTGCGGCGAAATGATGCCATTTCTCAAGTTGCGGCGCATTTGACGAAACCCGGCCACACATTCAAATTTGGTGAGGTCGAAATTCTCGCAAGGGGTGATAATCTTGTGAACCCGCAATCACTTAAGTCATAGTTCACGGGCCTCCAGTCCATAAACGAGTGCAACGACTTGCCCAATCCATATTCGGTGCTAAGGCCTAATTTGGCAAAAGCACTTGGCCAATTGGGGCAGACAAAGGCCACCACTTCGTCCTACGCCAACAACAGGGAACCGGATGGTCGACCAATCAGCACATCAAACTGCACCATGCGTGATGCAAGTTCAGCAGGTCACGGCCCGCATGCTGTTCATCAACTAATCCATGCAAAAGAGGGTAATTATCGTTATAATTGTCGTTAGTTGGCATACGTGTGTAGTAATGACGGTGTCCTGTAAATACTGTCACTTCTTGTGCATGAAGCACCAGCTTTTGCTACTATTATCTGTTCATGTCTCTGATATAAAATCCGCAACGCATGTCGAAGCGTCAGCCGAACAAATGTTTTTTCCCAGAGGTCGAATCTTCTTCTCAATTACTCCCTGGGTTTCGCCTATTCACTTCCCAATGGATTAAAGTTGCGCCAGATTAAAAAACGCTCACGATCAATCTCTTTTGGTACACACTGTGTACAAAGCTGTGCTCAAAGGACTTTTTTTCGTCCAGCCTTTGTTGCGAGCCCTTGTGAGGCCTTGTCGGAATCAACTCATCATCATACTTAAAGACTCGATGGAAAATCGCTTAATTTTACAAAGGAGAGATTAGGGTTTGTAAGAATCCTCACGTTATCATTTCTTCTTCTTATTCTTTTCATTTCTAACTTTGGGATAATAATGACTTCGGCAAGATGAGATAATGCTTTTGTTATCTATCGCAATACACCAACTATATTTCGTGGGCTGTCTAAGGTAGAGACGTGTCGATTATTGCTTTTGGGTCATCATTATTCATTCTTTATTCTGGCCGACTGCGTGCCCTCGTCGTTATGTAGCTAGAAGGAAATTGCACTGACAATTTTTGGGCCGGTATGCAATACTGTTTTTCCACGTAAGTAGTTTTATTTCATATTTTTACGATCTCCAGACCTCTTTGTCTCTAAATACGCGTAAGAGAACTAAGCGTTTACTTGCCTAAACACCAAAAAGTATTTAGAAGCCTCTGACCAAAATAAAAGATTGTCAAGATGAAAAACTCGCTTTTAAAATCGAGCATATGCCCACTTCAATTAACAAATTTGACAAGAAAATAGCGTCCCAAGCATTCACCTTAGGATGGGGTCTCGAAAGAACACAAACAGAAGTCTGCTTTATGAAAAGTGCTTGCTTGCATTCTTTATTGTTTTTTTATAGATGAAAAAAATTGTACAACTTAATTTTCAGTAGGAAGCAGCTTAAAACTTTCGATAAAGACCCGTTTCTTTCAGTTTGAAAGTGAGCTGAAGGTGATACCTAGTATGATCATGCAGAGTCCAGCTGCAAGATGAGTTGAGGCCGAAGACCAGGACTTATACAACACCCGCGGTTGGGGAGCCTGTTCGGCAGTCAGCGGCTGCACTGGGCGAAAGTTATCCTGCATCGGTTTACCGCCATCGCTGTCACCAAAACGCAGAGATCGCAACTTCTTCAGCTATAATGAAAAGGAATACAATGACTGCCCACGGTAGCAGCGAAAAGAAGTACTGATTGGGGGCTGGGACACTGAACCGGATGAAGGCAAACGCGCAAAATAGACACGTCATCGACCGTTCCTAGACATGTGAAGGCAGACGCCAGGACAGAAACGCCGCGAAAAGAGAAACCATTCCCCAGTAAACTAGCAAGGGTGCACTGAACTGCTTCTCTCCAAAATCAGTTGAGTACAGCTTACGCGTACACTTTCTATCCTTCGATATAAACCAGTCAAACGATAAATAAAGCTAATGTACACTGCGTTTGCCTTTATAAATTCAAGGAAGTTGCCGAATATGTTTCCTAAAACCGACACACACTATTTTTAAGTATAGGATTTAAAGAAGGCATACTTTTCCGCAAAACGAGTACAAGAAATAATTTTAACTTCATTTTTTCTATAAAATACATTTGCCTTCATAAGGGCAGTCAAAATTCATGGTGAAAAATGCATACAATGTAAATCGTCATCTTTTACAGTACATGCTTTCGGTAAGCGTCAGAAAGAAGCTCGTTAAAAAGCCGGCCTCCTAGCATGACTGAAATGACTTGAGAAAAGACTACACGATGACCAGTATGACAACCTTACTCAATTCCGAGTTAAAAGTCAGTATTAATCTTCCGCAAATGTCGGTTTTGCACGAATTCTGAGCCATAGTGTACGATTAACTAAGGAGGCAGATCACTGTCTAGGCGCTTGAAAGAGAGGTTTTATTTACTTGATATTCCAAAGATTTTTGTAGTCCATCAGAAGGGAGTTAAACTAGCAGCAAGAAGTAACCCGCATATATATTTCAACCAACAATCAATAAAGTCAGTCCGGGTGTGACTGAGCTGGCCTCCGAATGCCGGCGCTAAATCGATATATCGATCAGCTGAGTTCCCATTCTTTGGGCCCCAAAACTTCTTTACGAGCATTTACTCGGGCACGAACAACTCGTACCTTACGCTACCTGCAGGCGGCCTACATACGGTGTTTTAAACCAAACCTATGTAACCAGTTTGAGCATGCGGTGAAACTACATCTGCCGTGGTAACACCGGCTGGCTGCTTACACATTTTCCTTCTCAACCCTCTTTGCCGTACACGTTTTTCCCCCTTTTTGCTGACCACAGCTTTTTCACTTTTTCAGGTTATTGACCAGCATCTTGGCTATTCACTGTGACCTTGCTGTTTGCATCGACTTTTCTGTATGAATTCACTTTTCTATTTTCTCTTACGTTATTCAAATTATGCAACGAGAGAAAGCAACTGATGTGCACTCTCGAAATTAAATTGATCCAGTGCACTTTGCTGTTTACAGCCTTTTTATCATAATTTTACTTTTAGCTGCAACAAGACGTACCCATACCAGGAAAGATGACTAAATGTAAACTTACATCTGCCTCGGTCACATGCAGAGCATGTCTCAACATCGTCCACTGAACATTCTCTGTGCATGGTGGTGTGGTAAGAGAACCCTGATAACGGAAGAACTCTTTGTTTTCAGGCAAAAGGACCTTGGGATCGAAGTAGCTCACGTTAGCTGTCGATCTAGCGTTAGTGAGACTGCCGATTGCAGATAAGAGGTTGCCCATTTTCGAAAGGCTTGATTCAGCCGGCTCATTCGTCATTTTGAAAAAGACGCCAATAACAGTCAGTCCCGCCGGAGAGGGTTTTGCCTGCGCTGCATTGTCGTATATGGACGAGTAGCCGACAATATGCATCTAGAATTAGAGCGTCAGGAGTGCACATAAAAACCTGCAAAAAGTGTGCGAAATGACATGGCTGAATGTCAGATTCTTCGTCTATTCACGTAGAATTTGTTCCTATTACAATCATTTCCTTGATCCGACAAGGGCAGGTACGACGCTATGAGGAATGTGATATACCTGACGTGGTTGAACTAGGTGAACGCACATGAATTATGATCTAATTTGGAGGCCGCTACTGGCCTGAGTGACTTTGCATGTACCTATGGAAAGCGGTGTACTTAAGTACGGGAAATTTGGGTCAAGGCTGACCAGTCTGAACTTTTACGCGCCGACAGTCTCTCTTACCTGACTTTGGCGAACCGAGTGGTCACCTGGACGGTTGTGCCTCGTACCTAGTTCACTAAAGACAATTTCACCGGATCTAATAGCTTGCTATGGAAGATTATGATCCACTTTGTCCTTGCGAAATGCGCAGCACAATATTTAATTCCTAGCAGGTGGTCACCCGTTTCGGGAACCCTAGCCATCCCGTGAAGAGTGTTCACTCCATAAGACAATTGAACCGGTGTTCAGACATTTCTGAGTAAATAAATATATGTATAGCAGATACGCGAACACCGATCTGTTAGAGGACTCACTCGTCCACCCATGTTGCCATAAGAGCTTTCACTTGAGCCTCCACCACGAGGTGATTAGGATATAGGCAGAAGGATATTATCGACAAAAACATGGGACACTAGAATGGCCATTTATGGGACATTTGCCGTCGTCAGCTAGTGATCCTGGCCACTTCGCGCAGGAGGCTCGAGTGAGAGTTCTAATTGCAACATTGACGGATGAGTGTGTCATTCAGCAGATCGGTGTACGCTTATCAGCTATTGC